GTCTGAAAACATTTAAAAGTAGCAGGGGCGGCAATTAAGATATGGATTAGGCTAGAAATACAGGCACACTAGAATCTTTCCTTCCTCCGTTCCTTGCAAGATTAGCCCTGTAAAGTGGGAAAAGATTTCTTCCAGCAACCAGTTCTCTGAACTGCTCAGAAAATTAACATATGGTTCGGGAGAACCGGTGCAAACCGGCAGGAGCCCATCACTGGGTTAAGCTATTTTCCAAGGCACCTGAAGGCCAGACAAGGAATAATGGATGAAACTGATCAAGGAGAGATTCAACCTGGAGGCTTTCAAGGGGAGACTGTATTGCCATTTGTCAGAGATGGTGTAGGGTCTCCTGCTTGGGTGGGGGGGTTGGACTAGATGACCTACAAGGTCCCTTCTAACTCTGTTAATCTATCTATCTATCTATCTATCTGCAGCAGCACTTTGTATCAATCCAATTGAAAACAAACAAAAATGCTTACAGTGGCATATAGCATGGAAAATTTAAGAATTAGTATACATAAAGATATAAAACAACTTGAAAACCTTTTAAAGATTCTGCTGAATACAACAACACTCTAAATTGTATCTATCCTGATGATTTTAATATTGATCTTCCAGCACCAATGGACTGCAGGCTTCAAAAGAAAAGCATTCCTATAACCCACCCTTCTGTGATTCAGTCTCTAACAACAACTTGTCCCACAGAGATTATTATTATCAAATTTATTTTGATAAATAGAGATATAGAGATAGAAAACTATGGCAAGTAATCTTAAAGCCATAGCACAGAACACTCCAGGCACCTGAGACATGATATGATTTAGCTATAGCGTGAGCAGTGAAACTTCAGAATTCCTGTCCTGCATTGCCTACACAGCAATAAAATTCAGAAAACCGGGTAAGCGATAAAACAGAGCTTTCAGTTCTGTTGATTTTGGCAAATCACTCCAACCTCACCTCCCTATCTTGTGATCCTTGACTAATTTTGAAACTTCAAAAAACAGTTGAAAGAGATCTATTCTACTTGATCCAACCAAGTATCAGTAGCTTACACCGGATTAATTTGCTCATCTAGAATCAAGTCTTGGATATTATCTTATTATTCATCTTTCAGATATCAGCAAGCAAAGCCTTTAAGCTCAATCAGTAGTTTACCAAGTGGTCAAATAATTACAATAGTAAATTACTAATTGGCTTTTACTATTACTATTTGACATCTGTCACCTACTAATTGACTACTAAGGTTGCCAACATGTATGACTAGTGTCTGCTACACTGTTGACGTAGAGAACAGGACAGCTAAGTACAGGTGGAATCAGTGATTCCAATAAATGGAGACAATCAAAGTGAAGCTAAGAATCATAAGAGGGCAAAGTAAAAGTGTGTGATCTCTAATTGATACAGGAAAACAAAACACTCCTACAACCTGCATTTCTGTGATTAGGTCTCCTGCAACAACCTGTCCCACAGGGATGGTGAACCAAGGCAAGTACTAGTCCCCTACTTACAATACTGCATTTAGTGAGTGTTCAAAGTTACAATGGCACTGAAAAAGTGATTTATGATCGTTTTTCACACTTACAACTGTTGCAGCATCCCCATGGTCATGTGACCAAAATTCAGATGCTTGGCAAATTACTCATATTTATGACGGTTGAAATGTCCTAGGATCATGTGATCACCTTTTGCAATCTTCTGACAAGCAAAGTCAAGGGGAAGCCAGGTTCACTTAACAACTTGACAACTGCAATGATTCACTTAGCAACTTTAGCAAGAAAGGTAATAAAATGGGGCAAAATTCACCTAACAAATGCCTCACTTAGCAACAGAAATTTTGGGCTCAATTGTGGTCCTAAATCAAGGACTATCTGTAACGGTAAAAAGTGCTGAACTTCCCCCAAGATTGATATTTACAGTTATAATCCTTCTTGATTTAGTGTACAGAACAATAAAATAACATCTTAAATCTTTACCTATGTTGAGATCACTATTATCAGAAATTGGGGGTAGATCAGCACTTTTTAAAAACAAACACGCATGCTTAAATATAACCATAAAGGGTAAAAAATCAGTTGTGTTGAAAAGAAGTCAAAATCCATAATGAAAGAACCATCCATATAAATCAACTGAAACAAACCAAAAAAAAAAACAAAAAACCTAATTTCCAAGCTTCCATTTTTCAGTAAGTCTGACTCTTGACTCTCAGACAGTTCACATTCTCACAACCAGCCAGTTCACATGGGTGAAACCTGGCTTTTTAACATATAAGCATAGACAGGTCCTCCTCCACTCTCCCGCCCTCCCTGTCTTTAAAGGAAAAAGACTGCTTTCTTTAAGCTAGAGACAGAAGCTGCTGGATAGAGGCAGGAAAGGAGTGCCACAGCCTCAGCATTAACTGATTGGAATTTCCAGGGAAAAAGGGAAATTTAGACAAAAATTTCTTTCCAAAAGCCTTGTTTATTTCTGTAGAAATAGGTAAATATTTTAGTCATGAATCTGGGTTAGACGTTTTGATTTATTTTGCTGTGTACATGTTAGAAACCGACTTCTCTCAGGTTCCTATTTCTTTGAATACTTAAGTTTGTGGTAAAGAGGTTCCACTGAGTTCAAGTTTTATTTTTTCTCTATAAAGCTCTTGTCAGATGATATATTTTGAAGGGGTGTATTTAATTGTACAATGCAATTGAGGGTTTTAATTGTAGAATGTTTCTTCATCTTTAGACTTTTATGATATGTTTTTCATTGTATGCCATACACAATATATGTTTTGTGGGATGGGCAATTATATAATAAATAAATAAATAAACCCAGTATCCTGAATGAGGTTTCTAATTAAAATGATCAGTCAGGAGGTATTTTTAAAAATCTTATTTTTAAATCAATATTTTAAAAAATGAAATTTGATTTTATTCATTCTTGCAAGGTGGATTTATTTCCCAAATGGCGAAAGGAAAGATTAAAACCACTGGTCACATGCTTTTATGTTATGCCAGGTGCTTTCATTACAGAACTTGACACCTTATTTCCATTTTCTTTTTTTTATTAGCCATAAGGGGAGTACAGGTTATGGTAGTCCACTCTCTCCCATACAGCAAAGTGAAGAGGCACCTCTAGGAACATTACTGATAGGAATAATTGTGAAGCAGCTGGAGCCAGGCAGGAAGTCAGGGCTGGGAAAAGTCTTCCAGGAGAGCTTCAGGAAGATAGAGCTGAGGTGGTGTAGTGGTTAGAGTGCAGTACTGCAGGCTACTTCTGCTGACTGCCAGCAGTATGGCAGTTCAATTCTCACCGTCTCAAGGTTGACTCAGTCTTCCATCTTTTCGAGGTCGGTAAAATGAGGACCCAGATTGTTGGGGGCAACAAAGCTGATTCTATAAACCACTTAGAGGGGGCTGTAAAGCACTATGAAGCGGTATATAAATCTAAGTGCTATTGCTATAAAATTTCAGACTTCTGGAAGCCCTGTTCTTCTACCAACATATACATATTTCTTATGAATGATATTTATAGTTTGATTGAGATTGATATTGGTCAACTTTATCTGAATTTGAATTCATAGTTTTGAGTTTCCATTATTTTGGAAAATAATTTGTTTTTAGTGCAAGTTTTTCAAGCTAGAACCTAAGTAAAATCCCTTCCCATCACAACTGGGGCAGTATATCTTCCTCAGTCTTGGATTCTCTACCAGAGTCCTTGGAGTTGAAGGTTCTGTGTGGCAACTTAGCTATTCCTGGTACTGCATTTTTATGAACAGAGAGCTTCGATGTTGTTCCAGGCATCTATTGGGGCCACTTTCTCATAAATTGAGAACTGAGTCACAGCTCCAAGCGCTCCTATGACCACCACACACACTTTGACTTTACTTTCCAAATCCTCTCTTCTGCCCTGGTGCTTCTCCAGCTTCTCATACTCCTTCCTGATGTTGCTATCACTTGGCACTGCTACATCTATCACCATCATTTCCTTCTGGATATACTGTATATATATCATGACTAGCTGGATCCCCGTGCTTTGCTACAAAACTGTGTGATCAGGCTTGATAAATCGACACTTACAGCTTGAATCCTTCCCTATCCTATCCCCTTCTCTCCCTCAGCCTTGCCCCACAGAAACGTCTCCTATCCTATCCCCTTCTCTCCCTCAGGCTTTCTAGCTCCTTCTCTCCATGAGGCTTGCCCCACAGAAGCCTGTCCTATGCGATCCCATTCTCTCCAGAGTTATTTTCAAGTTGGGAGGGGGAGTAGAACGTCTAATTAATTAGCATCAGAGCATGTTATAATAATATAGGAAATACTAATGCTCTGATGGTCATTTCGATAAATCCTTTTTTAGTAAGTAGCTAGAAGCCAAGAGGAACATACATGGCAAATTTCAAGTTTGTAGGCTTTACGGTTCTGGAGATTTCATGATTAATGCGTGAGTGGTTTTTGCTTTTATATATAAAGATTTTAGAGGTAGTGATGAGTCATTATGAAAACCACTACCCCCCGGGGGAGTGGCTTCCAAAATTAATTTAAAATTGCAATCAAAAGTCTCAGAACATTGGGGACCAATGAGCTCAGCGAGCCTTCTCATATTTCCATTAGGGTTAAGAGCTTAGATTCAGTTCCAGAAGCATTCTCTGTAACTCATGAAAGCAGCTGGATTCATGGAGATACATACAAGTACTAGGTTCTTATTCCCTCATTTCACTGTCTGGATTCAAGCTGCACTTTGCATTGGCTTTAAAACTGAGATGGTGGAGAATGGATCATTCAGAAAACAAAATACAGAGGAAAAAGACTAAGTCCAATGGGATCAAGATCTGGATTGGGAACACTAAGACAACTATTGCATGATCAGTTACATGCAACTGATTAAAAATATGCTAAAATTCATAGGAAGCTTAACTCGGAAGCTTGTTGAACATTGCAGCAGTCTTAAAATATGGGTTAACAAACCTCATTTAATACAGTCACTAGGCTGGATTCATACTATGCTGAGTATTGTATCTATTTACTCACAATGTCTGTGTGCTCTGTGGGAGTGTAGGGATGAAACTGATCTCCATACAGGTTATTTTATGGTGTCCCCAGTCAGAACAATCACACAAGGATGAAGGGCACACTTCTGTGCCTCTACTTCTCTGGCCCAGTTCCAGCAGAAGCAGCAGCTGAAGGAACTTTGGTGGCCACGGCATCTTCTTGTTCCTACTGCTGCAGCAGCTTCATTATCTTGTGTAATCTTTTGCACCCGAAACAAGAGAAGGGCTAATGAAGGTCCTTTTCCTGCGAACGGAAGAAAGCTGGAATCGCCAAAGAAGTGTCCCATCCACCTATTTATTTCCCGCTTTCCCTAAAAGCAAAAGTAGAAAAAAAAGAAAAGAAAAGAAGCTATGTACCAAAATACAGTATGTTATACAACTAGCCGTCAAAGCCATTCTGTTGTTTATTAATTTCAATATGTCTCCATATCAATTAAACATTAAAATAAGATGAAAATAATAATAAATATGCCCAAACATTCCAGAGTAAAGTCTGGGCCACGCAAAATACCACAGTAAATTTCTACTACACTGGTTTCTGGGAAGCATATTCCTCTTTAATCAACTAAAGGCCTTCCAAAATGCTGAACAAGGCTTCTGTATGTTGTATTAAAAAATACTCATACAGCCTAACTATGACTTGATTTTCTTTTTTAAGCAGTGTGTCTCTTTTGGCAGATCTCCCACAAATCTGATCTGAAAGACTTGCTTTTTCAAGAATAAAAAGGGGACGTCAGAATTACACTGTTACATTGTCGGCAGCTGTATTGATTTGAGATTATCTTAGGACACTTGTCATATCAAACAGCTAGAAACTACATAAAGAACACTTGGGATAGTGGATTAAATATTTTGCTTTGGAGGAAGAAAGCTGATTGACAAATTATTTGCAATATATTGCAAATTAAACAATGCAATAATATATTTTCAAATGTTTTGCAAAACTGAAGCAAGGATTGTTTATTTTCAAATTCAAAGCTTTCAGTATTTGATAATCTGAGGAATTTTGAACATTTGAAAATTGCATGGATTCTACCATTTTGAGGAAATATGATATGATATATGGATGAATAGTTAATGAAAGGTAAAACAGAGATCTAAGCTAGTTTGAATATGTGCAGATAAAAACTTTAAGGACATTGTTAGCAACATTAGAATATAACAAATAAATAAATAAAGCATATATTTCCAAATTATATAAATAATTATAAATGATTTAAAATCTGATTTGCAAGTTAAAGAAATATATTATTGAGTGACTTAAGAGTAGCCTAAGTACTTCTGAAAACCAGAAATATTTCTGGAAAGAAAGTCAGTCGTCAATTATATATATGAAAGTTTCTATATAGAAATTGAATAAATGAATAAAAATAAATATAGGAATGAATAGTAAGAGAGGAGAGATGTGGAGAGTTTTCCAATGAAATAAAAATAACACATATAAATTATAGCTCAATCTATTGAAGATATAAGTCTCAAGTAGACTTTCCAATTCACTTATAATGGACATTTTCAAAAATAAATAATATATTTGTGATAAATAGAATATTGGGTTTTATCATTTTTGAATTAATACTAGATTATGAAACTTCAACATATGGAAACAACTTATAATATTTTTGTATCTAGAATAACCTAAAAAAGGAAGGAGAAAACAGTTTTAAAAAATTGCCCAGCGTTTTTAATTTATTCATTAATTGTAAGGACAATCACATTTGTTGTCAACAAAAAGAGATTAAAAACTGAACATTTTAATTAGAAACACTATCCTAAATTAAAATAAAAAATAAGAATATGATTGAACATTTAGAATTGCTTGCAATCTCAAGCAATTTCATTTAACTCGTATTATATTGAACAGTAAGATTTAAACATCTTTGTCATCAAAAGTTATTAATGCATATATAATTTGCATTTCAATGTTAGCAATAATCATGGGGGGACGACTATATTTTTTCTAAACGCAATTGAGAATCTCAACATTCCTCTCCAATGTTTAACGCCATCTATCCTGTTTTGGCTAGAAATTCTGAAAATGGCATTTTACAGTATTATCTTATATATCATCAAAAATTAAGTTCAGCCGGATACATCATAGCCAGGAATAGTCTAAAGTGCCTTTTTCTTTCTCTTTATTCTAAGACTTGCAAGCAGCATTCGTGCGTGCATAACTGTCGGACGGCTATCAGATGAAACTTCCTGCCCTTGGGGAGATGAAATTGTGAAGACACCTGCCAGGCTCAATTTCCACCTGATGCCATTTGGGCCCTCTGGGCTCCAACTATACCAGGATCTTTCAGGATTCTAGCAATTCTTCATATGGAAACTCTCCAACAACCCCTCAGCCCCACCAGTCTTGAGGAGCTCTACTTTAAGGAGCCTTCCCCCACTTCTCCATCCCTTTCAGTCAATGTTCCTCAGCCTTGGCAATTTTAAGATATGTGGATTTCAAGTCCCAGAATTCCCCAGTAAGTACAATGGCTGGGGAATTCTGGGAGTTGAAGTCCACACAAGTTAAAAGTTGTCAAAGCTGAGAAACACCATCCTGAACGCAGCAGTACAGATACTAACTGCATCTGTTTATTGATCCTCACCGTGACTCGCAGCTCAGTGAAGTTGGTCGGTGTCAAGGAGGATGAAGTCTTTTCTCGTCTTCTTCTGCCCAGCGCCTTCTGAAACCCCCGGCCAGAAGCTGCGGAGAACCTTCCAAAGTCCCATCAGGGATTTACAGCAAGGCGCCGCAACTTGCCTGAGCGGCAGGTAGAGAAAGCAATTCCGCTCGGGACTCAGTGCCAGCAGCGTCTTCAAGGCTGGCGGTCGGTTGCCATCTAGTGGCGACAGGCCAGATCGCACCGAGTCGAAAGCTTTCCGCCAAGCAGTATGAGAAGTTGCGTGTTAATACATCTGCTTATCGGTTCGCTTCAGTTCAAAATTAATTATTGCTCAAAACCACCCATTTATATTCCGCTTTTAAAATTCTTCTTAGTGCTGAAGGCGACTAATAATACTAGAAAAAAAAAGATAAGTCTGTGTTCACCCAACAACTAAATGTAGTTAGTGAGTAGTTGGAAACATTTGCATGACATGCTTACAGTGATTTATCCAAACGGTCCAGTTTCTGAGCTCTCCCAACCCATTAACTATAATCTAACTACATAGGCTGAATCTGAATTAAACTAGCTTAAAATGAAGTTCAGTTCAATCTCTTGAGCTATAAACTAGCCGGCCATATGAACTTGTGCAGAGCCAGTCCAGATAGTCAAGTCTGTTTCTCAAGAGCTCAAAACATTGTATGAAATTCAATTAGTTAATGTAGTGAGTCAAAATAGTAGGCCACACACTTCTGTTGCCATGCTTTCTGAATCATATGTGGCTATGTGATCCCTTAAGCTGCTGGACAATGCCCCAGTACCAGCCTCCCATAAACAGCAAAGATTCTCTACCTATGGTCTCATGATATTCTCTCCATCTATCCAAATTACAATTTAAGTTATGGCAGTCATGCCTAGATATGCTTCTATACACAGAACATACAGTAACCCAATTTTTTTTTAGACAAAACTATGTGGCTATAATGTGGGTTAAGGCCCTGGAATTAGAACCAGGACCAGGACCAGGGGAGAGGTCCCTAGTCCACCATAGATGCTCATTGGAGATTTAGGTTTTTTTTTTTTTTAAAAAAAGATGTACTGAGTGCCAATAGATTTAAACATTGTTTTAAATTTACACTATGTAAGAATACAATAGGCTATGGGGGCTGGGGAATCATTAGCTGTTACTTGGGAGGAAATGTTAAATTATAACCTTTTTCCAAATTGTAGAAATTTATTTTGCATTGGTCACAGCCCACCAGGAATACTGGACTCTAATCTGGGTTAGTCTAGTCTAATTCGAATAATTTAGAGAAATTAAACAGGTTCAGAAAAATCAACAAATATGATTGAAAATTAAAAAACAACTGAAGGAGATTGAAGCAGCTGTGCAGGCCCGGACCTAATGGATTCTAGATACAGGACAGCACATTTCCTCTGAGTGTTAGTGGGGAACAGGGGGTATTTTGTTCCTTTTTTGCTCTCCAGTGAGTTTCACACACCATTCGGTTATGGCCATTTATTTCATCTGTCCTGGTCTTACAGCCAAATAGGGTTAGGGTTAGTAGTTGATAAATAGAAGCTCCTGTACCGCCACTGTAATTACAACAACATTCCAATTATGTCCACTTCAACAATTATATAAGACATTGTCTTCTCCTCTTCACTGGGTGTATTTAAGCAAAGGCCGGCCAGCCAATTGTCTGGGGTGCTTTAGGAATTTGGATTCCCAAATTTCCAGACTAATTGACTTCATTTCTTAAACTGTCTGCTTGTAAGATTCTAAGTTTCCTTCTTTGTCTTATTGAAAAGCCAGCAATTGTTGGAAAAGTATAAGAGGAACTCTCTGACGTTGTCCATCACTCATCCCACCCATTTCCCAGATAAAGTTTTAAAACAAAAACAACATCTCTTATTTGTCTTTTAGCCCTATTATGATCTGGTTGTGTATTTCAGTCTTCTCCTACCCCAGTGCATTCCAAACAGGCTGAGATAAAATCCCAGTCACTCCTTTGCAGCTTTTGGGACAGCTCGTTGTAATCCAACATAATTGAAAGGAATCTGACTGGTAAAAAAAACCGCACAGAGCTGAAATTAAGCGCCTACGCCTTTAAGAAACAGGCGCAGCCTGACTCTCTCTATTACCGCTTGCTGTACTGGTTCTTCGGCAACGAGGAACGGGCGCTTCTGACTGTTCCTTAGACGGCTCGTCGCGGAGCATTCTGGTAGCTGTAGTTTCCTCTCGACTCGAAACAATCGGTGCCTCGGGACATTCGAACTACGATTCCTAGGATGCTAGGCGCCCGAGGGGCACTGGCGCCTTACGAGGCCGCTCTCTCTCGGTGGCAGGGCGGCTAGTTCAAGTTGCCATAGCGGCAGCGGGGCGGGTGTTGGACAGTTGGAGCCGGAGGCGTCCGGGAGTCATGCTTCTTTCCTGACAACTATTCTCATGTGAGAAGGCGCGGGTTAGTCCCGGGATCGGAGAAGAGTCCGGGGCCCAGTTGTTGAAATAAGCGTTGGGGATGTTATGACAGCGAGTGTGAATGAGAGAATCGGAGCGGGTGCATCCGTTCGTGGGTGGAGAGAGCCATTGCCTTTGATCGTGCGGTCGCGATCGATCGTGATCTTATGCTGGCGGAACCCGAGTTTTGTGTGGCTGAAATTCGGCGTCTTTATAGTATCCGGACGAAAGAAACTTTGCAACACTTTAAACGGAAACCAGTTATGCAGCCCGATTATGTGCATCAAAAGTAAAGGTGATTCGTGTTTTGCCCAGCCTCTTCCTTCTTTCATCCTGATCTGGTATGGCTCAAGAGGTGGTCAATAATTTGACCATCATTCGTGACTCGTAATAAACCCTGTTGATTTCAGCAACCTTACACTGGGGAAGGCGGCAATTCTGTACAGTATCTGCCTGGTTAGGAGGAAGAGCTTCTGGGCAAAATGGGGTGCATAGATTGAGGTGCATAATATTAGGAAGGATTTCAAGCGAAATGAACATGAAAAGTGTCTTCAGATTATGTTTGTGCATAAGAACTTCATACAGTATGTATTTTTGGAATAACTATCCGGCTTGTAAACTAAAACTTTTTTTTTTTAAACTGCCTGATTTGGAAGAACTTGCTCTTATTCAAATTTTATTTAAGTCTACTCATATGATGCGATTCTGTATTAGCCATTTGTGACAGTTCCTAAGTGTCTGTGCTTTCAGTTGCATATTCCATCCATGTGGTTATGTGAGGCTGCAAATGGATATATGTTAAAGAGGCAATACTATGAGTCATAATTAATTTTGAAAAGAGGCAAATTTTTTTTTGCATTTTTAACAGTATGCTGGATGAGGGGGTTAATTCTGTTTTCTGGAAAAATTGTACTCTAGCAGTGCCTTAAAGTATATGTTCATGTTTGTCTTAAGGCATATCACCACTGAATTAAATAGATTTTAAACTTCCTTCCTTCCTCCCTCCCTCCCTCCCTCAACAGATGAGACAGTTTGATAACCTTTACAGTACTTTGTGCTGTACTGGGATGGAAATGGGAACTATGTCTATAGGCTGATGATATTCTAGGTAAAAATGGGTGTGATCCATTTGTTCCTGAATCACAATATAGTGTGGTCCTGATTACTATAACAAAGCTTTCCCTTGCTCCCTTTCAACTTACTTTTCCAATGGTTGTATTCTGTTTAATTTTATGCTGACTGAACTGAAAGTGGCTCAGCACATATAAATGTTCCCCTAAGTTCTTAGTTTGACTCAACTTCCTTTTTCCTGTTGATAGAAGTTTGGAGAAGTTGTACTTAAAGTTTCCTAAGTGTCTTTTTGCTAATAGTCTGCTAGGGTGTGACTTTTTCCCCCTACTATCCTGTCTATATTTTATTTGCAATTGTGACATTCTGTACTTAGGGGACTAAATTGTGTTCTGGAGGATTGTGAAGTTCACTGACAGCTTCTTCACCTTGAAGATTTGCAATGGTGCATGTATTTTTTTAGGCTAGTCTTTTCACTAATTTATTTTACTACTTTATCAAAGGTAAGGATTACTGCTCTCAATTCAAATGAATCAATTTTAAGGATGTCCCTGTTTCAAGTGAGAAATCCTGTATGAACTGGGTGCATGCCCTAGAATATTAGCCTTGATTTGGGATCCCCTGTCAGGCCATGGATCTGCTCTAAGGTAGATCATAATTGTATCACTACAATATTATGGTAGAAATACATGATAACAAAAGTTACTGGTTACATTATTAAAGTTTGCCTTACAGATAAATTTCGTCTGAACAGGTCAAAGGTTTCTATTTAGTGTATCTGCAAAGTAGAGGTAGCATAGTATATATACATCAGGGGTGTCAAACTCACATCGTTACGGCAACGTCACGTGAAGTATCGGGATTTCCCTCCCTTTACTAAACTGGGTGTGGGCGTGGCCAGCATGTGATGCATCTGGCCTGTGGGCCCTGAGTTTGACAGCCCTGGATATACATGATTCTTCAGTAGAAACTAGAATAGGGAAAGGAAGAAAACTGTTGTCAAAGTTTCTATTATTCTTTCGCTCAATGGATAAGTGAAATCTGCATTTTTATGGAATACTGTAAAGTGTTTAAAAATTGATGTTTTATATACATACAAAGGTGCATTTTTAAAATGACTACTCCTGACTTTATGTGTAACTTCTACTATTATATTTCAGTTTTTGCAGTTCATGGCATATGTGGACAAGATAATGTGTTTCAAAAATTGTTATCAGTAAGCTTCTGAGAACTCATTGGGTATAAGAGGTTGTCACACAAAAGAAGGCCAAGAATTGTTCTCACATCCAATGTCTTATCTCAGAGATAGGACATTGGATAATAGATTTAAGAAAGAGGAAGGCAAATTTCTGATTGCATGTTACACAACATTTTACTAACAGAAAGACTGTTCTGGCTTTACACTGATTGGTGAGAGAGCTGCTAAACTCCCCTTTACTGGATATTTAAGTAGAGACTGGCAGCCATCTTTCAGAGATGCTTTAATTTGGATTTCTACATGGAGAAGGAGTTGAGTGAGTGGCCAAAATGATCCCTTCACTCTCTGTGAATCTATAAACTAATTAAACTGTAGAATAATGTTGTGGCAAATAGCAGAATCAGTCCAATTCTGTTTTAGAAAAAAAAAGCTACTGTAAACATTCTTAACTGGGTTGCCTTATTTCTGGATGAATGGGATGAATTCAGCCAACTTTTCTTTTTCTTTTAATACTGATCCTGGCAGTGAAGTAATGAGACTTTCTTTTGCTGTTTAGTAATGTGGGTTCTGAATGAAGTTTTTGTTTTTGGAGTTGTTGTACTAAAAATAGTAGCTTTTAGAAATCTCCCTTCATGGCTAGGGTTTGCTATAGTGATTATCAGATGCTTAGGACAAATTGCTATTTGCTATACCATAATGATGTGTGAATACAAACTTTTAATGTATGTGCATAATGATATTTACATGTCTGGATAACTGCATACAGTTTACATATGTAAGATTCTTCAAAACCACTATAAAAGGAAGTATAGTGATATCTTTGAAAAATTGAGAGTCATAATGATAACAGTCTGGAAACAGTTGGCTACTATGATATTTCTTTCAAACATTCCCACCCCAACACACAGAGACAAGGTCAGGCAACAAGAATACAGGTAGTTCTCAATTTACAACCACATTGAGGCCAACATTTATGTTGCTAAGCGAGACAGTTAAGTGAATTTTGCTCCATTTTACAACATTTCTTGCCACAGTTGTTAAGTGAATCATTGTAGTTGTTAGTAACACATTGTTAAGTGAATCTGACTTCCCATTGACTTTGCTTGTCAGAAGGTCACAAACGTGATCAGATGATCCCAGGATACTGCAACCATCATAAATATGAATCAGTTGCTAAGCATCCACATTTTGATCAAGTGACCATGGGAATGCTGCAACAGTTGGAAGTGTGAAAAATGGGCATGTTACTTTTTTCAGTAACATTGTAACTTAGAACAGTCACTAAATGAACTGTTATAAATCAAGGACTACTTGTAATAGTGAACTTGAAAAGGAAGCTAAGGATCATTTAGGTCAGTGTTTTTCAAATTTGGCAGCTTTAAGGTGCTGGCTAGGGAATTCTGGGAGTTGCATCCACACATCTTAGTTACCAAGTTGTTTTTTTTTTTTTTTTTAAAAAAAACACTCATTGATGTTAAAGGAAGTTAGCACCCATCCTCCTCTTAGAAGAATGAAATATTTTAGGAAATATTAAAAAGGCAGAATATTATATTTCCCTGGATGAGAAAAGGAGAGACATGTTTTAAAGACAAAGCAGCTCCCTGCATCCCCCCACCCCACTGCTTCAGCTCCAGGGTGATGGGATTAAGACATGGCCCTCAGGACATGATAGGATTAGCCCTCTACCAATCAGAAGTCACCACATGGCACCTGGGGAGATTGCATCACTCAGCAAGATTCAACCAAGCTTGGGACTCAAGACACTACAAGCCACTGCATGGCTCCATGGGAGTCTGACAACCAATCAGAGTACAGGAACAGGAAGCTTCAAGGCAGGGCCCAAGAGAGGGTATAACTCCCTCCCCCACTCTCTCTCTCGTTTTGGCCAGGACCCCCCCCAAAAAACCATGTCGTCTTGTCCACCATTAAACCATCTTTCCAAGCAGTCTCCATGTTTCCAGTGTCTTTCTTCCCACTTGAAACTGAACCCAATGTAGTTCATCTCTCTGCATTCCGTAGGAAAAACAATTAAACCATCTTTAAGAGGTGACTGCCCAGCCTCTTCTTTAAAATCTCCAGAGATCTAGAACTCACAATCTTTGCAGGTAGAATCGAATTATTTCTTTATTTTTTAAAAAATATATATATAAATCTTTGTACTTCCTATTCAATTATTCTGTGTAATGTCTTTCCACTACTTACAGGTACTCCTCAAGTTACAGTGACAATGTGGGCATAAAGCACAAGCACATTGCTTGGTGACAGCAATATCTGAAAGGGCTCGCAATCTGGGAGTCCTCCTGGATAGGCAGCTGTCTTTGGAGGAACATCTGACGGCTGTTACCAGGGGGACCTTTTATCAGGTTCGCCTGATTCGCCAGTTGCGGCCCTTTCTCGATCAGGATTCCTTGTGCACAGTCACTCACGCCCTCGTCACCTCTCGCCTTGACTACTGC